AATCTTTATAATTTTATATTTAATACCTATTTTCAAACATTAATTGCTCCCAATTGTCACTAATGTCTAAACCAAAAAATTTTAAGTTTAAATACTTAAAACAACTCTTATTCACTCCATTTGAATCAATGGATTCAAACTCATAACCTATATGGAACAAAAATCATCATTCCAACTAAAACCCTCACTTTAATCCTCATTAAAATGGAAGAGAAATGGGGAAAGGAGTTTAGGAATCTTTTAGGTAATTGGGAGCTTTAAACCCTTTAAATCCTTTCCAAAGTCGTGCCCTAACAAAGATTTCTTTGTTCCTCTCGTTTTTATTTTCCTTTCCTCTACTTTTGACACTAATTCATGACTTAAGACTATAGAAAATGGGTCATGCGTAGCAACGCACGCTGCTTGTGCCGTGTGGCACAATGAGGTTTTACCTCTCTACTTTAGTCTATTGTGCCACAGTGGACCATGCCTACACCGTAGCATGTGATATAGGACCACACACCTTCATTTTCTCTCCCTTTTTAGTCTACATAGCCCTTACACAGCCTTGGACCCACATCCTAAGGTCATTATCAAGCTCAAAAAGGTTCTTTTATCCTCTTCAACCGTTTTCTACATCAATTTTACCAAATTAACCTTGAATAATTTATTACTAACTAAAGGATTAAATTTTCAAATGTTATACTTAACATCGATGTAAAAAGGAGAGAGAATGCTAATAAAGGTATAAGAGAAAAAAAGGGAGAGAGGAGAGGCAAAAGGAGAATAGAAAGGAAGAGAAAAATTAATTCCATTCATACCAATCTATTACAATTTAAAGACCTATTTATAGATAATATATTAAATCCAAACTACCGCTATATCCCTAATTTCCCTAATATTTCTAAATCTCATTATATTAATACTCCCCCCAACAAGAGATCCTTACCCTCAAGGATCAATATAAAAGCAAAAAATATATCTAAAATAAGACTTCTCTAGTTTTTTTTTATACCTCAAGCTAAAACTTATAAAAGAAAATAATTTGAAAACAAAATTAATGGACATTAAAAACCTAAACTTGTTGCATTTTTCCAAAAGCCCAAAAGTATAGCAATTGTCCTTCAAACCATAAGCCCATTATGAAAATCCACAAGGACTCATATAACATCAATTGTTGAAACTTAAGGCATTGTACTTCTATATCCAATTTCATGGCCTAAATTCCATCCAAAACTTTTAGGGCTCTAAATTTGAGAAGCCCAAATCTCATCTAAATAAGGGCTAATAACACTTTTAATGAGCCCATGTCCACTAAAGTTTCAATGATTGGCACATAAATCATACTTAGGGCACACTTAGTCTTGTAGGATGCTTAGAAATGTAGAACCCATTAATCCTTGATGTAAATACTCGCTATCAAAAAAGCATGTTTGCGCCGCCAAAGGAATTTTAAGAACCTTCAATGAAAACCTGAAACCCGTTATCCTTTTGCCAACACCATCCAACTCGATGTCTTTAACAGCCTTACTTGACCCAAGAATAATGTTTCTGCTTGATTCTACTCTAGGTTGTACTCAGCTTTCGATCAATATTCCTCCTCCTGCATCATGGTTAGACCTTCAGAAGTAAACTAATGATCTGGATAATTTCAAAACTTGAAGTATCACACCTCTGACATTGATTTATGTGAGGCCACAGTAGTTAGGCATCAAGTTTTTGATTTGAAACAAAGACTATAAAATCATCATTTGAATCGTAGAGGAATCTTGATGAATGGAATTTTGGTGCTTGACTCAATGGTAAATGCATTGGCAGTGAATGGCCAAGAAGACACATGGAAAAAGGAGAGGCAAAAATTAAAGTCAGAGAACCATTCGACATCATTATAACTTTATGTTTCTCCATCTCTTCACTATCTTGCTTCTTTTAGTCTTCCACAATGCTTGCAACGACGTGATCTAATTTTAAGGCATTGACTTTCCCTGTCTTATTCATTTCATCCTTCACCTCTTCGTTAATAAGGGTAAGTGTTGAATCTACACTAGAGTTCATGACAATTGGCACATCCATGCCTTTATCTTTCTCAATTGCTACTTGTTTACAAATATTGAATTCCTTTGAAATGTATTCATCTTCTTGATTGTCATATTTCGTCTTCTACCCATATCTTTGCTAATGATTAGCAACTTTGTCTACTTATTTCATTGGATTGTCTTCAATTTTGATTTCAGGATGTGGTTTTACCTTTTACATCGCTGTCTTCAGTAGTTGATGGTGGCAACTCTTTTTCTACCCTCGAAATAGCTTCTACTGCCAATCATTTCAATAGTTTAAGAGGAACTACTATAAGAGAGGTAGAGGTAATTATTGTCTGGTACAAGCATTAGTTGACAAACACAAAAAGCTTAGCTGGGATTTCATGCATCTATCGAGAAATGTGAGACATGGTTTGCTTGATCTCACTGAAGTCCTGAGTCTGTTAGTTTAATATCTGCCGGTTGCATTAAAGCAAAGTTGATTGCATCTCCAAATAATATTTGAGAGTAATAATATGTTCATTGGATCGGCTCTCCAATAGAGCCATAGTCAAAGTGGAGACTTTGATACTTTTGATAGAGCTAGAAGAGAAAGAAGGAGAGAGAGAAGAGGCAAAAGGAGAATATATAGGAAGAAAAAGATTAATTCCATTCATACCCATCTATTACAACCTAGAGACCTACTTATAGAGAATATACTAAATATCTAAACTATCTTTATATCCCTAATTCCCTTAATATTCCTAAATCCCATGTATCAAGTACACACACAATGCAACAACCTTGATACAACAATTAGGTAGCACTTGAACCATAAAAACCATCACTGAAAACAAAAAAAAAATCTAATACAATTGCCACAATCTATATCATCAAACTTGAGTCTCTCATTAGTTTCATCATTTTCTTTCCTATCTACTTTTTACACTTTCATTTCACTACACCAATTATTGGTAGCTCAAAATATGATAAAATATGTAGCAGTGATTTTCTAACCATACTTCTAAACCATGTAATTAACAGTAAGATTCAACACAACATAAACCTCTATGTTTAAAGAAATTTTAACACAACTAGCTATTAGAGCCAGCCTTACTGATTGAAACATAAAAGGTAAAAGTAACCAAAGACAGAACATGGCATCCCTTATCTTAAACCAAATCATACCCACAAATAGCAGTATGTAAATAGTTTTAAGAGAGTTAACCAATATAAAGAAATGAGGCACCGAGTTGGGTAAAATCACATGTTGTTCTTCAATAAATTTATAGATGTACCTTACCAGGTTCCTAGATTCAGTTCGCTTAAATTTACTAAGCTTCTTCCCTGCATTAGCTAGCTTAGCTTCTTCCCCCCTTGTTTTTTATTTCAAGACACTCTATACTATTATTAGTCTTAAAGGCACCCATCGAAGGTTATCAGCCCCCCTCACACAATTGGAGAACCTCGATATATATATATATATATATATGTATGTATGTATGTATGTATGTATGTATGTATGTATGTATGTATGTATGTATGTATGTATATGCCATTGCCATAATCAACACTCCTTGTCAAAATAGATTACCATCAACCTTTCTTGCTGTCAAATCACTTCCATCCCCACCATAATTCAAAGCAAAACTCTCTCATGTTCATTATTAATCAATTCACCTTCTCCAACACACACCCAAAATATTTCTCTCAAATAAATTTAAAAGAAGTTTCTCTTGAATTTTGCTTAGAGAAATTCTCTTAAATTATTCACGAGAAACATCTTCTCTTAGATTAATTCAAGAGAAATTTTTTTCTTCAAAATATTTTGAGAGAAAATAAAAATTCCTATAAATTTTATCTCACTTAAATTTTTTGAAAGAAAATTCAAGAAAAATCTCTTTTCTCATAATTTTTCTATATTTTCTCTCAAAATAATTCTAAAAAAATGTGTTGTTTTATTGTAGTGCATTCTTGCTGTCAAATCACTTCCATCTCAACTATAATCCAAAGCAAAAACCCTCTCATCCTCATTATTAATCCATTCACCTCTTTCAACACACACCCAAAACCACACACCTACCCACCCTACCCCCACATCTTGTCACTCCACAGCCACTGAAGAGCATTGTCAAAGAACACTTCCCATTAAAAAAGAAGATCCTCTCCATAGAGGGGAGAGCTCTGAAGAGAGATCACCTACACGAAAAAAGGGCTGAGTTCCTTGGCCAAAAAAACCAAGTGACATCATGCAAGTAGGTTCCTTAAAACATTCGAATCCCTAGCATATTATCTGTGGCTGAATAAAAAAAAATCTTTGTGAAACTAATAAATAAACAAGAAATCTGTTGAATTTGATTTTTTTTTTTGTTTGCTGTTGGATTTTATATTGAGAAAATAACAATAAAATCCCTCCAAAATATATAAATAATAATTTGGTCACTTAAAATACCATAATTTCCATGAAGTCCCTATAAATTTTTTTATCATTAATAAATTTATATAAATTACTAAATTGCCCTTATTGAAAATAAACTATTCACAAGTTTTGTTTAAATATTCACAATTTTTTTCTTATATTCGCAACAATGCAATAGCAAATAAGAAATTAACAATGCAACAGCACAACTTTGCATGTTAAATTTTTTATTTATTGTTGCATTGTTACGAATATAAAAAGAAAAGTTGTGAATATTTAAACAAAATTTGTGAATCGCTTATTTTCAACAAAGATAATTTAGTAATTTATATAAGTTCATTAATGATAGAAATTTTTTTAGAAACTTCAAGAAAATTATGACATTTTAAGATATTAAATTATTATTCATATATTTTAAAAAAATTTTATTGTTATTTTTTCTTTTATATTTTTCACTCTAGCACTTGCCAAAATTGTTCTTGAATAAATCACACAGACGACAGCGTTTCGGTTGGTGAGGGCTGAGGATGACTGTTTGAGCTGACCGTTTCCTGTTCCCTGCCGTCGTTGTAGCAGGGTTGACATGATGATTGGGGACGCATGGCGATGAAACAGAGATTGGCCGTTGGGGTCTTGGAGGAGATTCGACGGCGGACGGCACACAATTGGCCATGAAACTCAGCTTCGATTCTTCCATTCAAAGTCAGATTTTCTTTGATAGATGAAACTCTTCACATATCATTCTTCTTTTTCTCAGATTTCAATTCAAAACTCCAAATCTCGATTACATTGAAAAACAAATCATATTAAATAAAATCGCTAGCTTCAGACTCAGCTTATCTGTTCAGTGGCTTTCGATTAAATAAGTATGATAGTTTTATTGCCCGGGCACATTTTGAAAGCAATCCAAACCATTCAAAGTCAAAACTTAAATTCATTTCGATTGAATAAAATGAAAAGGGAATGCATGTTACTCACCTTCTTCCTCCTTCATTCAGTCCTCTCTAGCGGAGGCTGAAGAGCTGAATGAAAGTGGACGGCCAGATTATATTGAGACGAACGGTCACGATTTCTCCTCTTTTATAAAACGGTGCACTTTAATGCTGAGTGCCTGGTGATCTGAATTGCTTCTTCCGGGCTGATAGGATAGGTTCGCGTCATAAACCCTACTTCTTATTACTGAATTACTGGCACCTCAATTCTGGAGATCCAGTTCGCAACTTCATCTATGGCGCTCCAAGGAACTGCCCTCTCCTTCAGTGTAAGCTTCCCATATCTGCTTCCCGTCAAAAATAGCTTCTATTAGCTTCCCGTCTCACGGAAGAGGATTTGGGTTCTGACGAACCTGCGCGATTGATCTTATTCTAGTGTTGAGTTTCGACTTGCATACTTGATAGTTTGGCAAAATTTATTCGTACAAGTTCCATGACTCTTCTTGCTTCGATATTGTTACTCTGACGGAATATGGGATATGATTCATATGTACTCAAGTTTCCTAATAGCTGGGGTGAATACACTGCAAGAAGTTTTATTTGATAGGTTGCTGAGAATTATGTTTCTTTTCTTCTTATTCTTTTTTTAAAAAACAACTTCAAATTAGAATCTGATTTTATTACTTGTTGTCTGTGTAAATATAGATTGATCTTGAATTTTTGTCTATGAAGGGACTTTCTTCCACCACGAAAGAGTTTAACTTCTTGCCCGGTTCATTTAATGATAGCTTTGGGAAGCTTCAACATGTTTCTCTGCCTTCATTGACAAAAAACAAGGTAGTCTTGGGCAAAAGCTTTGGAAGATTGAGTAAGTCTATTTTGCTTAGGAAAAAGTAGTTCATGTTTGACTAGGAATTTGCTTACGATATGACGACTAGGTTTTAGTGAACCACCATATTGGTTACCTTTTGTCATTTCTTCTTGATTTTGCTCTAGTTTAATTTTCTTCAAAACAAAATTTGGATACGAATTTGAAGTTTCAGGTACCTAGTTATCCAATAGAAGCATGGTATGTGCATGTCTTGTGTCCAAGTCAACACCCTAAGATTGGGCTATTTGAAAATTTTTATCTAGATGTCATGTTTGGAGAACTTGACTGCAAATATGTAACTAATTTTGTTCTTCTGAATCCAGCAAAGCTTTCAGGGTTCATTGTTGATTTTATACTGGAGCTTCTTTAGTATTCATCTGACCAATCTTCTAGTTTTCTGTCAGGGAGACTAGTTAGAGTGAAACGAGAAGACTCTGAGAGTATGTGGAGCAGTGAGAGCATTGTACTGGATGAGCAAACTTTGGAGGAAGAGCTACATAATGCCATTGCAGAAGAGAACTATGCTAAAGCAGCAGAAATCAGAGATGCTCTGAAGAACCTTCAGAAAGACATTAAGGCCACGGTATTGGGAGCCAACAGCCGGTTTTACGATTCTTTTAGGACTGGGGATCTTGCAGCAATGCAAGCTCTTTGGGCCAGAAGGGATGAGGTATGCTGTGTCCACCCTGGCTTGAAAGGAATATCTGGTTATGATGATGTTATAGAGAGCTGGAATTTTGTTTGGGCAAACTATGAATTCCCATTGGAGATTAAGCTAGAAGACATCAAGGTTCATGCTAGAGGGGACATGGGATATGTCACATGCATGGAATTTGTAAAGACAAAAGGAGGAAGATGGGGAGGACAGTTTGTGACAAATGTGTTCGAGAGGATTGATGGCCAATGGTTCATTTGTATTCATCATGCTTCCCCAATAGACTTATGAATGCTTCAAAGTTTGCTTCTGACATTCTCCTTATCAATTTTGTTTTGGTTTTTCACTTTGGCTGATGCTTCGCTCTCATATTCAGAACTCATTTTTTAAGTTACACGTGTACTGCATACATAATCTGTTAAGAGTTGTAATATTTTGATGAATAAATGAATCCATGATATATGGGAACCTGCCTCATACCGTTTTGCCCGGTCATGCCAGGTATTTACTAGGTTCACCATGTCATGGAATGAAGTCCAAGATATTTAAGTTCAACGAGCTTGTTTTTTCGCCTTTGATATGTCAAATCATTTGAGCTTGGATTTAGAGTCGAAGACTCGTTATGAGTGGCAGTGTCCACTTTTGTTTGATATGATACAATAATAGCTGGCGTCCATTAACCAATGTTTGGTAAAGATTCATTTTGCATCTCTTAAATTACAACATAGAGGAAAAGTACAATCTTAGCTATGAAGTTTTGCTCATCTTACCTTGTATTTTACTATGAGAGACTTATATACTTATTCTCATATATTTAATATACTTTTATTTACTTAAATTAAAAAATATGAATTTTAATATGCTAATAATATTAATAATAAAAATTTATTATAGAATAAATAATTTATAATACATACACATGTTTTTATTTAATTACAATAAATACCTTAAATATATAAAGTTAAATTTATAAGTTTTTTCCTTATACTATTATTACATGTTTTCAGAATTGGGTTGGGCATTATATTGGCTGGAAAACTAGTTTAAGGTTCAATGGTCAAACTTGAATCAATGTTAATTAAATTGTTATATTTTAATTAGATGTTGATTTTTTTTTATAAAATTAAGTAAAGAAAGTAAAACAGGGAATATTTTTTCAAGAAATAAGTATATAGATTCTAATGTCAAAAAATAACTATACAATACTTAGAAAGTAACGAAAATATCATGAATTAAGATTTTCATACTAGCATACAAAGATTAAGCTATACTACTACAACTTAATAATAGAGTTACTAATTTTAGTTGATGCAAGGTGAGATGTAATCAATGTATTTATCCTGAAAATTCTCCTCACAAATTAAAAAAAGCACTTAATTCTTATTAATGGAGTTCATTACCCATTAAGCGACTCAACTATATTGAATGAGGAGTACATCTGAAAAGATAAATGTTTTGGGAGCATTAACTCTGCATTGGTTTGTGTTAGTTAAAATATAAAAAATATCTCTTAATAGTAAACGCTAAACAAGAGCAACCAAAAAATTATAAAAAACAAAAAATTAGGGTCCGTTTATCAACCTATCCTGGGAATAATTTTTTATTATTAAAAACAAAAAAATATTTGGTAATGTATTTTCAAAAAATGTTTTAAAAAATAAAGTATTGTTTGAAAAATAGAAAAACAAAAACATATTTTAGATGTTTAAAAATTATTATTTTGAAGAACAAGAAAAAATAAGAAAGACACATTGATGGGAAAAAGAAAAAAGAAAAGGACATAATTAAAGATTTAAAAAATTAAAAAATTAAATATATTTTATTAGGATATTTTATTAATTAGAAATATTTTTTTTAATTGTCATAATATTTAAATTATTATTATCTTTTTATTTAATTTTAAAATTTCAAGAATTTATCACATATAATTCTAGGGTTAAGGTTAAGGCTTATAAATACCGTCTTAACTCATTTGTTTTGTAAACGTACATTTGATTAAATAAGAATTATCATTATCTTACCTCTCCTCTTCTGATTTCTTTATTCTCACTATATTATCTTTACTCTCTTTCTTGATTTTCTATATCCTCTTTTCCCTTCTCCTTCCCCCCTTCTGCATCAACTGGTGATAGGAAGAAAAAGAAGCAACTAAAGATATTAAAGATTTGAAAAGATTGAATATATTTTATTAAAAAATTTTATTAATTAGAAATATTTTATTTTAACTATTATAATATTTGAATTATAATTATCTTTTCATTTAATTTTAGAATTTCAAGAATTTATCACATTTAATTATAAGATTAAGGTTGAGGTTTATAAATAGCATCTTAACTCCTTTGATTTGAACATACATTTAATTGAATAAGAATTACAGTTATCTTGCCTTTTCTCTGAGTTTTCTCTTCTATTTATTCTCTCTATTGATCCTTTTATCTTTTTTCTATATTCTCCCCCTTTCCTTTCTCATTCTACATCAATTGGCATCAGAGTCAGGTTTCTACCACTCCGCTTCTATTACCAAATCCCTTCTTAGTACCAAAAACCATCATACGAAAAGGCTTTAAGAGATAAGTTTATAACTTAAAGCTTCTTAAGTTACTCAGTTAGGCTCTTTGATCCTAAAGTTTAAGTCCCTTGCTATTTGTCTCTTTTTTTTTATCCTTTTTTTCTATTATTCTTGTTTGTTTCCACTTTCATTCACTTTAAGCTATTCTATCATATTTCTTTCTTTTTGATATTATTTTATTTTTCATATTTTGCTTCCTTCCTTCCTTTATTTAATTATTATTTTATTCAACCCTATACTTGAGTCAAAATCCACCATGGGCTAGCCAAAGTTTCTATCGATTTTTTGAAGGGGTGTCCAAGCCCTTAAAGGTTATTGTGAAGACTTCACTCAAGTTGTTACTTATTTAGCATGTTTGATCCCTAAGAAATTTTAGAGTTTTCAAATGATTAAACTTGTTAAATAAGGTTTTTCATCTTTTAGGTGAGGGGTAACTTGAGAACCTTTTCTTAAATAAAATATTAAAACTTCCCAGTCAGAGAGAGGGAGAGAGGGAGAGAGAGATCTTACCTTCTATTGCCTACAATCACCAACAACACAAAAACATATTATGGCTTCATTTAATTGCCGATATGATTATATTGATTATCATTAATATACTTATATTGATTCTCATCGATATAATTATCATTGTTAATATGATTATGCTACTCATCACTACTATGATTATGTCAATCATCATCAATGTCACATTAGTATGATTTAGTTGACCAATCAGACTTATATTTCATATGTTCACGCCTTGGACTGGTGAGAGATAAAATTGATGAACTCTAAAGCTCCATTCGATCCACATTAAACAAACAACATTACTATCAAGTTAAGAAAGAAAAGTTGTATCAAAAGGAAATAACTCCTAATCCTCTTGATAGTATATTAAAACATTATAAAAATCCTAATATTTTGACTTCTGAAGGAGATAATATGCCTAACCAAAACAATGTACCTATATTGATTGTACTAGAAAGTAATATCACTGCTGATTTTAAGATTGAGGCATGTGACGACATAAAAATTAAATAAATACAATCGAATCATATTAAAGCTTTTGCTCATATTCTAGATATAAGCATTGTTGATACTCAAGAGGCAACTCTTAATTAAAAAGAACAAAAATTATGGAAGCAAATGCTACATATGCTAGTTGAGAATTTTAAGACAATTAATGATGGTATTCAATTTCAACCGACTCTTGCTTTGCCTAATTCATCTACTATACCCTCTAATGCTAATGCTATTGCAAATATGGAAGCTATTACTGTTCATGAACCATACGATCCCCTCCAATATTATCTTATTTGTTGAAAAGGATTTCCAAAATTATATATTATGCTTCTACATGCTCAAATTGTTTGCTGTTCACATGATATCATTTATTGGTATTTGATTTACTGAAAAGGATTTCTAAATAGAGACACAACTTAAAATCTCTTGATCACATCATACTTCCCGAACATATCCCATTGTAATTTTAAGATTTTAAGAATTTATCATGTTTAGTTCTAAAATTAAAGTTGAAATTTATAAATAACACTTTGGCTCATTTACTTTGGACGTACATTTAATTAAATAAAAATTACTGTTATGTAGCTTCTCCTCTATGTTTTATCTTTTCTTTATTCTCTATCGATCTCTTTATCTCTTTTCTATATTCTTTACCTCTTTCCTTCCCCATTCTATATCACACATATTTTCATTATTTTTGTTCTTAAAATGTGTTTTATAAAACACCAACTTTTAAAGTAATAAAACAAAACTAGTTTCAAATAGACCCTTGGTTTGAGCAGTCATTCTCTATACAAAACTCTTGCTCCCCACCCCTGGGGTAACGAAGAACAATTAAATTCCTCTCTATGAAATGGGCAATTTGACCCGACCGATCTACACATTCATTACTTTCCACACACTTATGTTTCTGTTGAAGTCATATATGTCATACCATACACCCTTCTGGAGTTGCAAAGGGTGAATTGAGAGACCCTTGCAGCTTCATATTGAATCCAAATCTAATAATTAATACATTTTAACCTTGCCAATGACAACTTAAATCAATAACTAATCCAAATCATTCCGGACTAAAGTGGGGAGGACATATAAATTGTACTCCATCACTTAAAAGTTAATGCCAACTTACCAAGTATGCATCGTACACAACATTGAAGATGCATGCCATGGTATGTCAACCGATCTTCAGCTTCTTCAGCTGCTATTTAGTAACTATTACCAACATTTAACTTTTGTTGAGCCATGTAACCAAGCGAAATTTTTTATTCAGCCACCTAATACATTTAACCATATCAATAGCTTAGGCTAAAGGAGTGGAAGGGAAGTTAGTCACTTGAAAAACTAATGTTCCTAGTTTGTTATGACTCATGACTTGTCTTGAGTTTTAGCGGCAGCTATTTCTGAATCTAGCTTGTTAATTAGCTACTCACTCACATGCTCGGCCACAGAAATCATATCAAGAATGATGCTAGGATCCAACCCTGCACCTCCTCGTTTGGTTATACCACCCTTTCCTATTAACAGAAATAGATACAGCAGAACTAATTTGTGATTCCTCTTCCGGAGTGGAATCAACAATATAGTGCCACTGTTGAATATTTTTCACAATATACCATAAATATAGGACGGGAGAGCTATACTTGCGACACGCCACGAGTGGAACCAAACATGTTTATCATGTAATTTAAGGTTTCATGCTGTGTCGAGTGAGAGGGTTAAAAGATATGTGAAACAAAAAACAACCCTTTTTTTGAGGTCGTATTTCATCATAGACGAGGAGAATAGGACCTTAGTCAGGGTAACTACAACAGGACCGCAGAAGTGTCAGACAGCAGAAACTCATCATCGCTTGTGTTAGCTTCTGTTTGCTCATCACTAGATGCACCTGCAACAACATGGATTCTTGGGATGCCCCTGTTGCTCAAAGCAGCCTTGAAGAAAAACAGGAAGTCATCAAGTCCTCCGTAAATGCCTTTAGCAATAGCAGTGTATTCTTGAAACCGTAAAAAAGAAAATCAGTGTGGAAAAAAACAAGCCAAGCATACTGTTTTCAGTATCCCATGTCTTTTGGAAACTTCTGAGCATAGCCAGATACTACTACTACAAAATAAAAGGTTATTTCACAGCTTTCCCAGTGCCCAGATATGTGTCCTGTTATTGACAGCTCAAAATTGATGCATGGAAAAAGACTGAGAATTCTAGCCTGTTTGGATAATCCTCAAAAGCACATTTAAACCACATCTGGGATGTGTTTTTGCCATGTCCAACAAATAGTTGGATCTTCCAAATGTGCTTTTGTCAAATGTAAACTGAAAACTAAACACACACTCCATAAGCATTAATTTTATTGGCATAAAGGGATAACATGAGAAATGCTAATTTGCAGTTTTGTGTGCCAAAAACCAAATATAATTGTCTTCCAAGCTCACAATAGCTTGAATAGTAAAGACTGCTACCTTAATGGAGGCTCCAAGGGCATCTAACAAATTTCCATCTGAGCTGACCACCAGCCCATCAATATAAAGTTCCCAACAAATTTTTCCCAACACAGCAAGAAACAAGGAGAAGTCAATTCCAGCACCTAGGAAAATAGCCTGGCAGTTAAGACTAGAATTTAAATTTCAATACAAAGAAATAACGCAGGAGGGAAAACATATGGTAAAATGAATACAGGCCTGCCCCACTTTTATCACCCAAGAGACAACGCTGAAGAGCAACTGACAGTTCTGTTGACAATTCCTCACCTCCTCTACCCTATGTTGAAGTATAAATGGACAAACAGGTGTAGCCAAAAAAGATACCTATATTTAAGTTATTAACTGAATAAAGACCTAAAATATGTTCCTTAATTCTTGCAAACTTAAAACCTATTGCTCCGTCTAGTAAATTTCAAGGATGAATACTTTGCTTTGTTAATAATGCTCATAGGAATCAAAGTTAACTTATATGGAAACAACCACCATACCCATAAGGCTTCTCTAAACAAAGAGGTTGAGAAACTGGCAGAGTTAAATAGGAAACCTCAAAAGCTGGCTCTGCAGTTGGGACTGCAATCAATAAGTATAGAGACTCTACCTTTGTTAGGTTGCAGTGAGTTTGGCTTTCCTAATTCAGCCTGCACATAAAGCCAATATATATCATGGTTTAGTCACACGGCTAACAAGAAGCTTAAGTGGCTTATACAATGATACAAAAGGAAGCTGAGTCCTAAAACCATAAAAAACCTTCACACTGGCAATGACATCTGTGGCACCCATTCTGACTCTTGCTGAACCATTTGCCTGTCATGAAGCCCATCAAACGTAGAAATTAAAACTACATACAACAACAACAACAACAAGCCTTTATCCCACTAGGTGGGGTCGGCTACATGGATTGCAAGACGCCATTGTACTCTATCATTTATCAAGTTTTTAGGAATATTATTAATTAAGAGATCACGTTCAACAACTTCCAAGAGTGTTCTCTTAGGCCTTCCTCTACCTCTCTTAATCGGACTCAAAGTTATATGTTCTACTCTTCTCACTGGTGCCTCCCTTGGTCTTCTTTGTACATGCCCAAACCATCTCAACCGATTTTCTACCATTTTTTCCTCAATAGGTGCCACCCTCACTTTTTCACGTACGTGCTCATTTCAACATGAAAAACCACATGGTCACAAAATAACTACATAGAGCACGCAAAATCCACATGGTCAGGCAGCCATGAAAAACCCTGGGTGAAAAGATCAGATTACTCTTTCAATTCATTTGTGTACTGCCTGAGGAATGACAGCAGTTTCAATATAGATGGGTCGAAATGTCAGTCTCTTTCAACCATCAAAGTGGAGGTCCTGAGCAATACCACCTTGTATGAATTGCTTTTCTTTCAGGGATAGACCCACCATTCTTGCACATGTGAAAATTGTGCAAAACCTTTGACAATAGTATAGTCTGGAATTCTCCAAAATCCTTCACAATTCAAGAAACAATAGCTCCCATTAATATTAGATCATAAGGGTGTTACGGGAGGGATTCAAAATTTCAAATCCCCTGCCCAAATTCCCTGTCAAACTTATAAGAACACTCAACATTATAAAACTACAAAATATGTATTTCCATGAAACAAAAATAACACTTAAAATGCCTCACAATAGAAAGACAAACCCAAATACACTATCATGAGTACCTCACAAGTGAAGTGGCCTTTATAAGTATGAGGAGCTCTCTCGGCGTAAGCACCAAAGGAGTACCTCTGAAGCGTGAACATGGCAAAATGGGCGCCAGGTTATCCGACATGAACACGCGTGGATGCGGCGTGTCCATTTTTTTTATTTTTTTTATTTTTGCGAAATAGGCTGACACGGGCAGGTGCCGGTAGAACACAGCATATTGGGCATTCTTTTTCCCCACGAACAGATGCCCTACTTCACGAGACGTCGACCGATCCCTTTCATTCCTGAGTCCTCGCCTGACTCGCGTTGCTCTGTCTCTAACCCAGTGAACTTCTACTGTCGCCGACCGATGTCCTTCCCTCCTCCTCCGTTGAGCTCGAGCGGGCTCCTCCATCACTCTGTGTCTCCGAGCCACTATCGCTCTCTGTCGTAGCCTCCTCAGTCACCGTGTCGCCCTCTGTCTCTCCTTAGTAGTGAATCGCGAGGTAATATTCTTGAGCTTGGCTGCTGTTCTTTGTTATTATGTGTACGAACTGATCGCTGAAGGTGGAGCTATTAAGAAAAAGTTTGGTTTCCCCTTTCATCCGTTGACTTTAATTTTGAAATCTTTCACGACCCTATTAAAAAAAAAGTTTGGTTTCCATGTGTTGTACTACTCTCATCTTCTATATAAATTATTTTTACCAATTTTATTAATATTAATATAAAAAAATATAAAAAAAATAAAAATACATAAAATTTTAAATACATTTTTATATAAAAAATTTTAAAAATAATGTCATATTATTTTTGAGAAAATTTGCTCAATGGCCTCAAAAAATACAACTTCTATAAATTATGGAAGAAGTTTTTGAATATTTTGGAATATGGCCCATTCAAAAATAAATTAGATGTGTTTTTACTTCTTTGTCCTCAAATCCGTTCAATTATTTTTAATAACTGATGTTATTTTTATTTGATTTTATTTCTTCATCCAGATGGTTATTTTCATCATCTTCATCAAGGATCGCAGAACGTATCTTATCGTGCAATGCTTGCCTCTCTCTGTTTATCTTCTCTGTTTTTCCCAGACATTGTCATTACATTGAACAGGAAACTGCATTATCGAATAGAAATTGTCTTGTATTCATTTTTCTAGAGGTTGAAGAGAATCATTCATAATCGAATTTCCATCATCTTCATATATTTAGATAATATATCCATTGAATTAGTAAATCATCTATTTCTAATCTATTTTTTGTTGTCATTGATCATGCAATTTGCTTGAATTTCAAACAGAAAACATATTATTTTCTCACTGTTCATGATTTTTTATTTTTTATTTCGGGTATTTGATTTTCTATGATCAGTTAAGACGTCTGTAATTTTTTTCGAACCTAGTTTGATCTGATTTGGGTGAAGGAGTATGGCGTTTTTGTGTTTCTAATTAACGTTAGTATATCATTGATATACTATAGTATCTCATTGATGGCAATTTCGTGTTTCTAATTAACGTTAGTATATCATTGATATACTATAGTATCTCATTGATAAGTAATATCAGTGATAACTTATCAACACTATGTCATCTTGTAAATATGGAGATACTTAATGTCATAATTTCTTATGATGGAAAATGAGATTTGAACAACCGTTATGTCGATACAAGGTAGGATGTTTTTAGCTCTGAATAACAGAGAAATCAGGAGGTCTAGGCATTTGATATACAGCCCTACATCAAGGATTCTGAAAAAATACTTGGTGAAGTAGGACGATTTTTTCTCTTTGATGCCATTGACAGAATATTTGCAAAATCCTCGCTTGAACTCTAGCTTGAATAACACAGTGTCATCGAACTTCTTCACCTTGAAGCTGTAGCAGTAGTTGTTCCTTACCTCGGCAGCATTTTTGATTTTTGACACCAAATTTGTGGCAGCAAGTCTGCCTCGCTTCACCTTGCCTCGCGTTCATGTGTTTTTCCAGATGAAGGCAGAGCTTCAGTTTGCCTCACCTAGCGTTTGTGTGGTGTCCTTGCTAAATCTCTGACTTCATTTGTCCACCGGCGGCAGCTATTTCGTTACCTGCTGTCAATTTCTTCGCCCACAGTCCAAATGCATAGCACTACCTCCAGGTCTTTGTGTGGTGCAAGCGAAATGCCATCTCCAAGTCTCCAAGTTTCTAGTTTAAGAAAGGCAATGAAGGTATTATAGTCTTTAAGCATTATTTTGTCTTTTGGTCCTGAGAAAAATTAGCAGATCGGCCATTCTCTTAATTTAGGAAATGGTGAGTTATTAGTTTTATTCAGCTACATAATATTGGCTATATATGCTAAAGCCCCATTATTTTTTTATAAAAAATAATTTTAAAAATAATTTTTAAATTTACTTAAAAAACCGCATCATAACTTATAAATGAAATTAAATAAATCTTTTAAAATGTAATTTATAAATAGGTCAAAGGAGTACACATTTTGTAGTTTTCGCTTCAATTTCCCTCTTCCATTTCTTATTCACAAATATTGGTTGATAGATATTGGATAGTTTTCATGGTTACAATTATGACAAGGCTTGAATTTAAATAATTTTTATTTGTTTGTTTTAAATTTTGATTACCTCTCTTCATGTTAAACTATGTAGAAAATTGCTAACAATTTTTTAATATTTATTAATTTAAGTTGATCATTATTTTTGCCACTTGATAGTGCTTATTTATTTACTTATTTATGTATATGTATCTAAATATTTAATATTTAATTATTTATATAGCTGTACCTATATGCTAAAATATTTGAAAATTACCATATCCACGTATCATGTCATATCATATCCAATATTTGTACTTGTATCAATGCTTCATAGAAGAAAACCCATTCCAAAAACCTATTCTGTTTGGTAAGAAAAGTCTCTCATACTTATAAATCTTACTTCACTTGTGAGGGACAATGCCACCTCATTCAACAGTTGATATTTTTAGCAACTTAACTCCACACCACTTTACTCAACCTTTTTATAGTCAAAACCTCTCATGGATAACCTTTTCATGACATTAAACTCTCAATGAAAGTATTAATATCACGAGCATTAAGCCCAAGTGCCAATAATTCAAGCCTACTTAAATAAAACCAACCCAATCAGGCCCAATCAGGCCCAAACTTTATGAAAAGTTTAAATCGCTAAGCTCAGTCTCAAATCAATCGGGCGATTCAGGCCGGCCCAAATACTAGCATATAATCAACGTTTTTTTTTTTTACCTTCGATTTCAATATACAGATGTTGTGAAAAACAGGATCAAAGACATACATCGGATTATTGGACTCGGGAATGGGGTTTAGGAAATAAATGAAGAAATCATCCTTCATCAAGATTCAAGCATATGAATTTCAGATTTCAGCCAACAATGTACTAGTAAGCATTCAGAACACGCTAGCAGAGATGAAGGCAGAAAGCATTCAGATTTCAGCCATTGGATTCGGTGATTCAGCCTGGGGTTACAAAATAAAAAGAATATAACTGGAGCTCGTGGGCCTCGGTCTTGGCCGTGGGTTCAACCATTAGATCCATATTTTACGTTCAGACAATGCCAACGTGAATGAGAAAAAAAGAAAGGAGAAGAATAAAACCACTTGAGCTTGTGGGTCGTGGCTGTGAGGAGTCGCCAAGCAGAGAAGTTGGCCGAGAGGAGTCACAGATGCAAAGAAAAGCGTCGAGAAGAGAAGGTGGCTGAGCAGAGAAGACAGTCGCAGATGCAAAGAAAACAGTCGCCGAGCAGATGCAAAGAAGATGGTGAGACGGAGATGCGAGAGAGAAATCAGGGAGGCACACTGGACTGAGCTCCTCCAGCTGCTTGACAGTCGACAGGCACAAGCACAGCCACTCGGTCTCTCGGACAATCAAGAAAGAGTCAGCGCGGCAAAAGATCATTTACTGAAAATTTATTTGACAAAAAATAATTTAATAAAAATCAATTATTATAATAAAATTCATATTTTGATACATTCTTTTCAAAAATTAATTTAATAAATTAAAAATTATTTAAATTAATGATAATTTATATTTTAAACAATACTTTTAAATATGTAATGATAAAAAATTATTAATTTATAATAATTGATAATTTTTATTATAAAAATTTAATATATAAAAAATGTAAAAAAATAAAATAACATAAAATTTAATATGTTTAAATAATAAGAATAAAAAATATATAATTTAATATTAAAAAAATAAAACATAATAAAAGCATTATAGTCATTTATAAAGTCCAACTCCTATTTTTAATTTCAAATTTATTAAAAAGTTAAATTGCTAAAATTATATTTTAATCACATTTCAACTCACTTTTAAAAAGTTATTTTATTCGCATACAAAATATCTAAACAATATTTAACATTTGAAAGGTTAAACATTGAAAATTCAAACACACCCTGAACGATGGAACAAAAGAGGAACTAAAGAAGGAAGGGTGGGTAGGAGATGCAGCGTTTTAGCCATTTAGCTAAACAAAAAAATAATAGTGTTTAAGCGGATATTTGAGCTGGCCGAATCTATCCTAACCTCTATCACGATTTTTTAATCCCAATAGGATGTTGTCGAGTTCTTACACACACCACGATTCGGCATATTATTTCATTTATGAAATTCATGCATATTTATATTCTATTTTAATTGTTTTATTCATAAGGAGATAATGTACACTCTAAATTTTCATATCAATTTTTTTACAAAAATATAATTTAATATTCATGTATTAACTATTAAAACACTTATTGTAACAGCCCTCCGCTCACCCCGCCTCCCCGAGGTCTTTTGCGGCGCTGAACACTCTCCCCCAAAGGCCCATAACAGGGCGACCCCACCTCTAACGGTGAGTATCAGGAGACAAAGGCTTCCCCGCAGTAGTATGCAGGATTATTCCCCTTGTGGAGAGCCTCCCCAGGTTCGATCCTCCAACCATTGAGTCAACTGATTCAATGGTACCAGGTTCAGCCTCAACTTTGTTATGTAAGAGAGGTTGGAGGATCAAACCTGGGAAGGCTCTCCGCAAGGGGAATAATGTAACACCCTCAAATTTATAAACCGATTTTTCGCAAGTTATTAATTCAAGAAATCATTTTTTTTCATTGAACCCTTATCATACCCTTATCATGGTAGAAAAATTTCTACCATGATACATCCAAGACAATATACCACAGGTCTTAAAATATCTCAAAAAGCAATTAGAACCATGAGGGACAGACATGATCCTCATAGCATGTTATTTAAATTAGGTCATGAATCAAAAGGGACAGACATAATCCTCTTGGACATATAAATGCATTTAATAAAAAGGATTAGAGTTTACATGCTCCATAGACAAGATATGTCCTAAGTTGGCACAAGATACATTGTATAATCCAAAATAAGAGGCAACGTAAAAGATGGTGTCTCATACACCATAATTACACCTCTGGTGCTTTCTCGGCCGGATTCGCTCCTGTAAAAATATTAACCACGGGGAATGAGACTTAAAAGTCTCAGTAACCAAAAATTAATATGTAATGATGCATGCGGATGTAACTAATCATGCGATTGCTAAGTGGGCACACAAAACATTTAACCGAATAATATTTTCAAACAAACCGAACAAGTATTTAATTGCATGACTGCACCTTATATCCTCCTTTCACCATGCTCGGACGCCAAATCACCCGGCCAAAGGTGAGTTGGACCAAGCGACACGCCACTCATTGGGTCCAATGAGGGCTTACCACGTGGTAATAATTAACCGAACAGAAATTCCCATTAACACCATACATTAAAATACCCTGACAAGTCATGCATCATTCAAATATCCAAACAGGAATATATCCGAACAATAATATCTCATCATGATAAACAAAAATAAATTTTTAACCCACTTGGCAATAATTTCAAACAAGTATATACAGTATTTATTTTCAATAATTCATAATTTTTCCAAACAACAAAACAACACATAACCATTCACAAACACACTCATCACAACACATTAATAATGGTTACCTTGTGTCTTGAATAACAAGTTCCCCTTCACAACTCCTTTTTCACCACTATCTTTGTCAATATAATCTACATAATTATTTCACAATACTATATATTAATTTTACATTAAAATAAATAACTCTAATTTAAAGAGTTAGAAAGTCTTAAATCTATAGTCCATATTAACACTAATTTAAGATTTATGCCTTATTTAACTTCCCAAATTCTTTTTTAAAATTCTCGTACCCTAATGAACTATTTTTTTTTATCCTCAATTCACTTCTAGTATCGCAATTTCATCCTTCTACATTCTAAAAATTCATCTAAAAATAAATTAAAAATTTTAGAATTATCCTGAAGCCTCAAATCACCTTTCTATAACCTCAAAAATACCTATTCATACTTAAATAAATATTTAATAATCATAGATTTATCCCTACATCTCAGATTCCACATAAATTCAACCATATAGATCTAGATTTTAACTCAAAAATTCTTAAACATGAGTTTCAACCTTAAGAAAATATTCTATAATATTTACTATATCCCTAAGAATTTTAACCTATATTTTTAATCCATCATATCATCAGATTAACTATCCTATAGAAAAATCCTAATCAAAATATTTACTCTATCCTACAAAATAATCATATCACTAGAAAGCTAATATTATTTAGAAAATAACTATAAAATTAATTTTGTAATTAAATAAATTTTTAAATGCTAATCTAAACAGGAAAGTTAGAACATACCTGAAGAAAAAAGAAAATAATCCCCCTTTGCGAGAAAACGCCGAGCAACGTGAGAGGAAGAGAGAAAAATAATATAAAAATGGGATTGTGAGTCCCAAAATTATATTAAAAAAAAACTATAGGTTTGAATTTAATTATTCAAACCTTTGGGCCCAAAGTTGCAATTTTCTCTAAATTGCATCTTAGCCTCTCATGCTTCCTAATGCACACACCCTCTCCTTTTTATACATGAAGGCACCTCTTCTCTTCCCTCATCTAACCAATGTGGGACTTAGAAACAACAACCTTCCACCCCCCCTTTTTTTTGTTCCTTCTACCTTCTCTCTTTTTTTTTTAACATACACATAAAAAAAATTATTTATGTATTATATCTTAACTAAATATTGCTTATGTGGTTTTAAATTTAAATTTTTAAATTCATAATTAAATACCTAATCATAATATTATTTCTAAATAACCTCAAATAATATAAATTCCTATTATTATCATTTTTTTTCCTCAAAACCTAAATTCCACAATTTCTTTATTATATAAAAATCAGGATGTTACAAATAATCCTGCATACTACTGTGGGGAAGCCTTTGTCTCCTGATACTCACCGTAAGGGGTGGGGTCGCCCTGTTGTGGGGCCTAGGGGGAGGGTGTCCAGCGCCGCAAAAGACTTCGGGGAGGCGGGGTGAGCGGAGGGCTGTTACACTTATTATGATAGAAAAATATCTAGCATGATAATAAAGGATAAAATTAATTTTTCAAAATATTATCATGATAGAAATAACTTTAAATATTATTTTCAAAAACTATTATGATATAAAGAGAACAGCCATGGTCATTAAGAATCAAAAGCACCTTTTAAAATTTATCAAAGATAAAAAGAACTTTCCTACAATAAAATATTTCACAAAACAAATTACCACAATAAAAAAGGTTTAAATATGATAAAATTTAGGAACTAAATAAATTAATTAAATAATTGTTAGTGAAATCGTTATCAACAAAGGTGCCTAATGGAATCCCATTTCATGCAAGTATTTAAAAATTCACCAATAGATTGAAAAAAACATAAGCAAGCAAAAAGCGTGGTTTTCAGGGCATTTTAATCCCAAACATGGCCGAACACAAAAAATAATCAACAACATCAACTACATATACCGAGGGTGTAACTTAAAATTCTCAAATTCAAAATCCACCCTCAACAATGTTTTATAACATTCATTAGACCTCCAACAAATTAACCATAAAACATGGGAAAAGACCAAGCTCAACTCAACAGAGCGAAGGAAAGAGAAACCAATGGTGGTCTCGAACAGTGATTTTGGATAGGAGGAGTACCATACCTAGTCTGAGACGGCTAGTGATAAAAAGGCCGTGACAACGATGGAGGACGACTGGCCACGATGACTTTCGATAGTGAAGAAGATAGAAGATGACCGTGCCCGTTCAAGGAGGAAGATGGCGGCAGAATGGTGCCTAACTGGGGATTTGGAATTGCCTTCAAACGACGTCGTGCAAGAAGAGAAAGTCAATTAAAAAAAGCAAAAGATTCGCACGGTTTGTGATTTGTGAACGACGGCGAAGTGCAAGAGAGTCAGCTAAGATTGGGATTTTCTTGAATGGGCCATATTTTTTAGCCCATGTGATAATGGGCCTATATTTGATCTACTTTTTATATTATCATTTGTTTTAGGGGGAAAATATTTGTCTAATGATTATTGTCAGTGCTGGGTATAACATCATGCAGAAATTGCAAGCCGTATCAAAACTTCACCTATTTATGGATGAAATTCTCGGAAATTTGCAGCTGCAAGTAAATTGCTCGACTTCATTTTTATACATGAAACTGAAATTCTTAATGATTTTTTTTGCCAGGTAACTCTTAATGATGTTTGGTCTTCGTCGGTAATTTGTGGTTTGCCATAATTTTGTAGCAGACTCTCTGCTTTCCAGTTAACAGCAGCATATGAAGAAAATGATCGAATGACTCTTTAATTCGATAGTTTCCAGGTGCTGCGCATATTATCACCCGTTAATTATTTAATTATATACTTCTCTAAGAGTGTTAGGATATCATGGTCCAATTCAAAAACTTGAAGGTACGTATTGCGTTGGCGTGTTTTTTCCCTAGATAAAAAGAAAAAGTTTCGAGAGATACGATATCTGGTGACTTCATAAATGCAAGGATATGAAACGACTTCATAGCACACTTTATTTGCGACACGTGTAAAGTTTCCCGTGAGGGCCCAACCCCAACCCCATTCACAGAAAAGACTTGCCTCACAAGTAAAGTCTGCCTGCCCAGACAGTTATTCGCTCTAGACTTGGAATCCGCCCTGGCCAGCCATGAGGCTTCCCCCCTCCTTCGCCTCCCTCTCTATTTTCACAAGTTAAAAATTAAAAATATTAATTAGTTCAGCGAGTTGAGTAAACATTACGCCTCAAAGATCCAGCTGCCCCCACCAAGGGCAAAGCAAAGGGTCGATATTTTTATGCCTCTTAGGGCGAACAAAAGCCCCTTCCCTCCCATAATTAATGACTTTTAAGAAAGTTGCTCATTGCTGAAGAACCTCACAATGGCAAGAAACCATTCACTCATCTTCATTTTCCTCACAGTTCTCTATCACTGCCTTAAATGAGCGTTTAGAAAAATAGTGTGGAAAAAATAACGATGACAGAGAACTAGAGAGATTCTTGAAAAGCCACTTTTCAGTAGCGAGTACTCGCTGAACTGGAGACTTCTTAAAAGATCGAATTAAATCAAACATTCATCAAATCTTGGACAACGCCGAAGCTTCAGGTTAAAACAAAAATACAAAGACCGACAAGAGACAGGACCTGACCAAATGACCCCGTGCGAAGAAAACAAAGGCAGTGAAATAAATCAAGGGAACAAGAGCAAGCAGAGAGAAAAACTGATAAAACCCAAATAATTTATTATTACTAATATAATAGGATAAGTAATGGGCGGAACAGGATTGGAATCTGAAATTGCTGACATACTTCAAATTCTGGTGTCACCAATTCCACTGGGATACAATATAAAGGGGAAGTATTTTAATGACAAATAAATCCCCCATCAGAAATTTGCTAAAGCTTTACTTAAATCCTATTCGGCTTTATCTTTCTTCATTGACTTGACTTGCCGATCTTGTTTATTATCCGCACAACAAAACAAGGCAGAAGTTATACATACTCTACCATCCATTGCTTTTGTCTTTTACCTTTTGACTGTGCCCCGAGCCCATCAAAACGAACAAAAGTTACTGCTATCACTGCATCTACTGCTGTGCTCATCATTCATCCGGCTTTAAGCAGGGACCCCTTTATTTTGCCCTTTTCATTTCCTTGCTTGCTTCTATGGCTAATAATCCAAAAAAAAAAAAAAACACGCCTTCTTCGAAAATAACTGCTTCTCCTTTAACTTCCCTGCCAAACCACCCTATTTCTTCTCTATAACACTATTCTCCTTTAGAAAAACCTAATCAAAAATTAAAGTTCCTAAGCAAAGCACTGGTAACGGTTCAGTTCAGATTAATAAGACCACTCCGGAGGGAGACGGATTTCATTGTTCACTGGTCGCTGCTGTGGCCGGAGGTAACGACTCTGTTGAGAAAGGTTATGGTCATTTCGAACATATGAAACACGGCCATCTGCAAAAGGCACAGACATTTAAAATCCGATAAATAAAACATAGTTGACAGAAACTAGTGGTAAATCATCTCAAGTTTAGGACAAGAATGCCCAGGATCTTATTACCACTGTCCATGGGGTAACATCCATTTACACGAGGCTGATATTGAGGCTGGCTTCCAATCTCAAACTTTAGATTCAGGGCCTGTATAACTCTAGCAGGAACAAGCACCGTCGAACAAGCTGGAGAGAGGAAAAAATCAACACAAATTTAGAATTTACATTTATTATAATCATTTTCTAAAATAAAATCACTAACACACAGGCGACAGTCATTAAAGAGAAACAAAACGATAAAACAGGGCCAAAATACAACGATTTGCAAGAAACTTAGAGAACATCCGAAGGATTTTTGTTGAGAAAACAAGAGTATACCTGGCTTCCTTCTTGACTCCGCAGGCTTGTCAACTCGACGAGGCAAGAAGACGCCAGTTCCGGCACATTCCCTTTTTCCGTTAGGGTTTTCAAGAAAAACGGCTCTCATTCCAGACCCAATCTGCTGCTGCTTCGCCTGAAGAGGAGGCCATACAGATGAAGACAAGCCCACATGCCGACCAGCGTTTCTGCCGCCAACAAGAGCCTCGCTACTCCTCACTCCTCTGTTTGAGACCGTTTGCTTGATTTGCCTCTGTTGGTTAAACCCACTTCCGGAAGCCGCCTTTGCCATCTGTTGCTGCCTCAGCATCTGGAACTACAACAGAACAAAAATTAGCCACAAACAAGCAAAAATACGAAACTCGTATATTCATTATAGAACCACAACGGGGCTTACTTGGGCTATCTGCAATTGCTGGTGAGAAAGCGACGATTGGTTGTAAAATCCTACATCAGGATTGGAGCTCTTCACAGGCAAGATCACGGGAGAGGGCTTTCCGGAAGGAGGACCCAATAGCCCTCGATGGTTGAAATCATAGCCATCTTCATTCATCTTCATCCTCTCCACTTCCCAGGCGGCTGCGCGTAGTAGATCCCACGTTGCCCTGGGAGATGATGCCTGGGAAGCACTATTGGGACTACCATGGCTAGAAGAACCTTTCCGGTATCCACACTCACTCCCAAATGCGCAAAGAGTGGATTGAGGCGAACCAGATAAAAACGTAGCCTACAACAAAGAAAATCTTATTAGCGCCCGATGTATAATGAAAGACTAAGTCATAACGACCTATATACTGTTTCATACCTTGGATTTCTTAAGATTGGAAGCAAAGTCCAGATCAAAATCAAGGGTGGAATGAGCCATACGACGGGTTAACTCGGCCATGTGCTCTTCCTCATCACTCTCCGTTTCGCTTGAGCCTACCACAGACTCAACCGGAGAACTGAAGTTAGAAGGAACTCCGGTGAACACATTTCCGAAGGGGTACTCGGAAGGAAACACGTTCTGGAAAGGATCAGCATCGTCGTTCTTTGCCTTGCCGAAACAGCTATTCTTCTCCATGGCAAAGTCGTCGTCCACGAGGATCTGCGGTGGCAGCCAGAACTCACCGTCATCCAAATTATCAGCCATGATCAAACACTAAGATTTAAAGGGTGACTACAGAGAAAGAGAGGCCGTTAAAGAGAGGAAAAAAGGAGGAGGAGATTTCGAGTGTGGAAATGGAAAACTGAAGCACGAAAGTGAGGAAAGGATTTGCTGCTTCGTGAAGATTTAATAATAACAAGTCGCAGAGGTGCAGCATGCAGGATATGCAGAGTCACAGGGCCCCATCACAGCCAAAAAGCAAAAGACGCAGAGGGTGGGGGGGAGAGAGAGTGACAGAGGAATGGAATGGATCCGACTGGCAGGAGGGGATCTGAAACTTTTCAACGAAACGGAGCCTGCTTTTCAACCCACAACAAAACGGTGAAACGGTTTTCCGTATTTTTTTATAAAATAAAAATATAAAATAAAACGCAGTGAGAGTGTGACTGTGTGAGCATAAAGCGGCAGTATCTCCAGAGGCGGAATGAAAGGTCAGTGACATGAAATTGACGCTCTTGGATGAACGCGTCTAACACGCTCCACCCTGCAGAAAGAGAGCGTGGTTTTTTTATCCAAAAAATACGTCACTGCAAGGAAATGTATTATGGAAAATACTAATTAATAAATGAAACGGAAAAAGTTTGTAAGATACCTTCCACTCCTCATTTTAATTTACCTAAAGCGAGTTGAGATGTCAAGATATGGCCATGAAAACATTGCCATTTTGCGAAGCAACATCCTTAACCCGCTGTATATTTATGGATCTGTCCAAAAAAAAAAAGATCTTACAATTGAGTAGTATTTAATTAAAAAATAGAATGCTATTCTTATTATCCTTTGTTATTTATTTAATTAGAGTGCACATTCCCAGCCTATGAAGAAGTTTGAAATGAATTAGATTACTCATAATTTATGCATAATACAGGAGTGTAATTTTTAATAAAATTTTCTAGATGACATGCTTATTTATTTTCTACATGGATGATAAATATGCTTGTGGAACTATAATAATGATGATTATAGAAACAGGGCAGCAGAAAGAGAGAAGAGTGATGGATGCATGTGAGAGTTAGACGGTGGAGTCACTTTTTGGGAGGTGCTCTCTGGTGATTGTCATCCACGACGTGAGAGTCGCGTTGCCTTGTCGCTATATTTAATATTTTATTTTATCTTTTTAATTGAGAAAAAAAATTAATAACATTTTTTAATTTGGACTGTCATCTGTCCAGTACATTCGCTCCCCGTCCTACGGACTCCACTTGGCACCGTGCCTGTAATCCCTCGCTCCCATTTTTTGCCCATTTTCTTTTCATTTTTTTTTTCTAGGCTTTTTGGTTGAGAATGCTTTTCCTTTTTCGACCTTCCGATATTTCATCTTTTTGGCCCAGCATCCTTCGCTTACAAGTTTTCGCATCAGTGTCTATCCGCTTGTTCGTATCCCACTACTGACATTCATTTTATTTTTTCAACTGCACACTGGAGTTTTTTAAAAAAAAATCAAACGTATTTTATTTTCAGTAGATCCAGCTCCCATGTGAGTTCATTTCATTTTTTCTTTTTAAGTGTTTTATACTGAGTTTTAATTTGTCGGGCCAACAATTTTTGGCATTTGGAACTTAGGTGTAAACATGGAGAGTAAAGGTGGTGTTAATAGATATTAAGGGCTGTGACTAAGGGAAGGGATGGTGTGATACTGATAATCTAAATATGTAATGATGATAAGGAGATTTGGGTGGTGAGAGTGAGGTGACACACTCGGGGGTTGGGGGATCAATTGCTTCCATGTTAAGGTTTTTGGAGGGGATAAGCCGGTGGTGGTGGCGCCAAAAATCTCACGGATGACGTGGCTTGCCTACCCAACGCTGTCGTTTTTGCCTTACCATCATTTCGGCGTGCCCCTTTAACTTCTTCTCTGATTGGACCGCACTCTATTTTATTTTATTTATTTTTTCCCCTCATCTCTCATTAACTGCTCCTACGTAAATTATTAGTATTGGCTCCAAGTATTAATGTTACACAATTTATTGAAGAAATAACAAGCGGATAGAAATCCTTTTACCAATATGTACATTAATATTAATCAGAACAAAATTTTAAATGAAAACGGATAATTATGCAACATCACGTCCATGTGCTGGTTTTTGTTTTTAGTCTCAATGATTTATTTTCATGTTTTTATTCTTTTTATTAACTTTATTTAAATATCAGTTTTTGTATTTAAAAATGCTCAAAAGTATCCTTAGATGGTCCAAATGGGATTGATTTTTATTACGTGGACTTAGCACCGTTAAACATGTTAGTTAACTAGAGGAAAAAAAACTGTCTAATTAAAAAAACAGAAAGAAGAACCACATCATTTTAGAAAAAAGGAGACACATTTTAGATAGAGCGACCAAAGGAGATTGGGAACCATAAAAATAAACTACAAACACTGAAAATAAAATCTGATTGAAGTAAAGGGGCTTGATGTGATATTTGTCCTTGTAGGTTATGGAGAAGAGTTCTATTATTTTTCTATTAGTATTATTTAAATATGTTAAACAAGTTTTTGATTTTGATAAACATAAAAGATGTGGATTCATGGATGAAACAAGAGGACTGAAGGTGAGAAGCACCAAGTAAGATAAACACAAGGGACAAGATATAATTAGTATCATCATTAACTTTAAAGAAACGAAGGATTGATTCATAATCCCTTTCTGATCATATATTCGAAATTTGGGCGCCGAAAGAGTCGATCTGGGGAATACGACCTTCTCATTCTCGTCCTTTGCACTCCTTTTTGTTACGCTCTTACATGCTACTTCGTATCAAATTTACTAAAGGCGTCTTTGAATGAATAAAAATTTGAATTTGAATTCAGATTTAAACTAATTTTTTTTATTTAGATATACATAAATTTATAGATTTGAAATTGAACATTTCAAATTATAATTCTTTGACAATTCAAATTCATTGTATAGCCTAATTATTTAAAATTTTAATTATTTTAAATGTTTTATTCTCTCTATATCTCTTTAATTGATACATTTATAACTTTTGTATATTTTCGCATCTCTTATCGATTAAAAAATAAATAAAAATTATCATTTTTAATCTTTCATTTTCATTTGAAATTCATTTCTCTTATTTATTTGAATTTTTTAAACTATCTAAATAAAAATTTTAAATATATAAATTTCAAAGATTATATTTAAAATGTAATATTTCAAACGTAAACTCTAAATCCATAAACCTAATCACTACCTAAATTTTCTCATATTCTCATTTTGACCATTCCACGTCATCAATCTTTTTTCTTCTTTTGCAAGATAGAGACACTTTCAGTCATGTATTTTCTAATCAATTTACTCTACGTTCGGTGAAATAAATTATTTCAAATGATGTTCCGTGTCTATATTATCTATAATTCAATTTTATATCAAAATTGGGTTTTTGCATTAGACATAAGTCAATCTGACCTTTGGAGCTGATAACCAAGCACACGTAGCGAATGGGAATTATATTGAGATAGTTCATTGTTTTGAGAGGTTAGCTCTGTGTAATATGGTTCATGAAAAATCACACTGCATTATTTTAGAATAGTCTCATAAACATTGGAGATTTAATGTATACTCGTATAATGGCTTTCAAAAAAAAAAAAAAACGGTTTACGTGCAACCAACTAAAAAGATGAATGATTTTAAAACATTCAACCAATATAGTTCAGACGAATTGATATGGCAGGACCAAAACTTTAGTCTTCAAATCTGTCTCTTTATCCTTCCTAAGAACCAGAGCATATATATGACAAGCAATCAAATCTTGAAAAATGAAACCCAAGCATGCTTGATATTTTTCTCTGTTTGGAAAAGCCAAACCGGGAGGAAAAAACAAATTTATCTGCGCATCATGCGATCACATGTGCATGTTATAACTTGAGCATTTTAATATTGACCCTAAACAATTCTTTGCGGTGTAGTCGGAACTTCTTTCTATCTTTATTATAAATTATTTTTAACTGTCTCATAAAAATTAAGAATGCCAAATATAATTAACTCATTAACTTTATTTGACAAAAGAAAAATGAAAAAAATTACATATTGGTCCTGTGGAGCAGATTTAATTATCAATAAGTCCTACAAAAATTGGCCAAAACCACAATCAGGTCCTTCGAGCTTAAGTGTAATTTAAAATTAGGTTGTAGAGACAATAATACTTTTATTAAACATACAATATATTAATGAAATAATTAATTTACAACTATTTTATCAGCAATTTGCAAATATAATTTTAATTTTTTATGATTGTAATTTCAGATATCCAATAATTAAACAATCATGTCTTACTAATAAAATTTAATATTAATTATTTATAATTACTTTATCAGTAATTTACAATTATAACTTTAACTTTAACTATTTATAATTGTAACTTTATGTATTCAATGATTAAAATAATTGGTTAATTATTAGATATATAAAGTTACAGTTGTAAATTATTTGACTAATGTAATATATTTGTGTGTGTGTGTTTAATAAGGTCATTATTGTTTGTTTATCCTAATTTTAAATTACAATCAACTCTCAAGGAATCCAATTATAGTTTGTGAATTTCATGTGATTTATTTGTAAATAAATTTACTCCACAGAACTTATATGTAATTTTTTTAAGAAAAAATTTTTAATTTTACTCAAATTTAAATGAAAAGTTTTTAAGTTTGCACTACATTCTCTATCATAATTAAAAAATTTAAATAAAAATGATGCTCAAAAAATATAACTAATATTTTGCTAAGTGTCCTGTATTCAGGTTTATTAATTTTTTTCAGATAAGTCTCATTATAACAAAGACGAAAGGGAGTAAGTAACGAATAATTTAATGAACACGCCATGGTTGCTTGGTTTGGGTGCCCGGTGATAAGTGAAATGCTAGCGCACGCTTGTACGAACTAAAGAGGGCGTCACTTTGCTCGAAATAGATAATGTCAGTAGAAAGAACCGTGTTTGCCTACTCGTGAGAAATTGTGCTACGCACGAAACATGAAAAGTAGAAAACCCTAAATATGTATTTCTTTGCAAATTATCATACCTATCAGCAGTAGCAAAACTCAGAATCTAGAAGTGCAAAATAATTTAATTAAAAAGTTATTAAATTTTAAAAATATTAATTTAATAATTAAAAATAAAAATTATTTTAGAAATAAAATTATAATAACATAAATAAATTGATCATCACTTTATTTGGTCTTTTATAAAATTATGCTCATCATTTTTTATCTTAATCATTAAAATATTACATGTCTAATAAAATTTTAAACCCAAATATTATTATTCAATCCAAAAGGTGCA